TGAGTTCAGATGTTTTCAGATTCTACATACAATTCTCATTTTTCAATTACAAATAATAATAATTTTTAAATATCATGGAGAATTGTCTCCTAAAGAAATCAAACCATCAAACATGAGTAAATTGATTGGTGAATGATTTCCCACAAAATTGAAAAGGACAATTTCAGTTATAAAAGGAAGGTATTGTGCTTGCTTTATTTGATTTATATAATTCCTTCCTCTGTTGAGATAGTTCAATATTTATTCTAGTTTACTTGATATGTAAGCTATGTTCTATCTACTGAGTTGTTACTGTGTGATATAGAATTTCTGATTAGAGGAGGATTAGGCATAGATATCAGTAAAGCCTGAATTCAGGACTGAAGGATATTATGCCTAGAAACTGACCTTGACTTCACCTACTCAAACAGAAAATTCTTGCCAGAAAGTTATAAGCTTATTTCTCACCAGACTGACAGCAGGCAGACACAATTTTGGAGTCTTGGGGAAGTTGGGGCAGTTGTATGAAACATTTGGGATGGGAGCAAGCAGAGGAATATAAACACCATATGAGAATGGCAAAGTGGGCTCTTGCCTTTGGAGAAATCCTCCATTCCTCTGTCACTCTATGCAGGTGCTAACATTTAAAGCTCTATTATCCTGCACCTCCTTCTCAGGATCTTTTCTGTTTTATTTAATCATCACTATAATTTCCATACTATTTGTCATTAATACAACTTTAAATGTCCCAGTTGTATTATACTGTCTTATTATTCAAGGAGTATTCCTCTTCTGTTGTGCTACACATTCACTCTCTATTTTAAACTATTTAGTTCCATATGTATTCCTTGCTATTTTATATCACCATGCCATTATTCACACAACACCCCATTTCTTCTACTTATCACTAGGATATAGTTTCATCTTTGAGATACTACCATTGCCATGGACTCCTTGAGAAATACAGGAGGGGACAAAGAATAGCAATGTACTTGTGTCACCCTTCCCCACCCCCAGCAAATGAAGCTAGCAGCAACAAAAGTGATCTCTTCCTTATGCTTGAGGAGAGGAGAGAGGAGAGTATGGAAGACTTCACCTTACACTTTAGATACCAGTTGCGCCACAGTAGCACAGGGCAACAGGCACAGTTATGAGGTCCCCATTCCAGGTCCTAGCCCACAGATAATATTTCTAGACACACTCTGGTCTGGAAGAGAACCCACTGCCTTGAAGGAAGGACCCAGTCCTGGCAGGATTCATCACCTGCTGACTAAAGGCCCTTGGGCTCTGAATAACCAATTGGGATACCCAGTAGGCTGTAGGTATTGGGTTCTGAGACATGCTGGCTTCAGGTGTGACCCAGCATATTCCCAGCTGTGGTGGCTACAGGGAGAGACTCCTGCTTGAGACAAGTCCCCTTTACTTTTTCTGTACCTTAGCTACAACCTTGGTCACAGTAGGATATAGCACTGACCCCATGTGATCTTATGGGATCCCTGAGTCTAGCCATAGGCTTTTAGACAGCATTTCTGGACCTGGCCTGGACTAGAGGGTGTCTACTGCCCTGAGAGGTGAGTCCCTCAGGGACTGGCAGCATTCACCACAAGCTGACTGAAGAGCCCTTGGGCTTTAAGTGAATATCAGCAGTGGCCTGTCAGAATCCCAGGTGGGCTGGTGGTGGTGGCAGCCACTCATCTGCCTGTGGAAAGGAGAAGAACAGGAAGGACTCTGTCTTGTGATTTGAGTGCCAATGTAGTCACGGAAGAATAGAATATCAGATGAATTTTTAATGCTTTTGATCCCAACCACTAGATCCCATATAGCATTTCTGAACTTGTCCAGGCTCTGGGTGAAATCATTGCCCCAAAAAGAAGAACACGAACCTGGTTAGTTTTACATCTTGTTAATCATAGAGTCCCGTTGCCTTGAGTAAACATATCTCAAAGAAATTCAAGATAACACAGAGAAGGAATTCAGAATTTCATCAGATAAATTTATGAAACAGATTGAGATTATTTAAAAGAATCAAGCAAAAGTTCTGGAGCTGAAAAATACAATTGACATACAGAAGAATGCATCAGTCTTTTACTAGCAGAACTGATCATACAGAAGAAAGAATTAGTGGGCTTGAAGACAGGCTATCTGAAAATATACACTTAGAGGAGACAAAAGAAAAAAGCATGTCCATAAGATCTGAAAATAGCTTCAAAAGGCAAATCTAAGCATTATTGGCCTTAAGGAAGAGGTAGAGAAAGAGATAATGGTAGAAAGTTTATTCAAAGGAATAATATTAGAAAAATACCCAAACCTAGAAAAAGATATCAATATTCAGGAACAAGAGGTTTATAGAACACTAAGAAGATAAAATTCAAATAAAATTACCTCAAGGCATTTAATAATCAAACTCCCAAAAGTGAAAGTTAAAGAAAGGATCCTACAAGCAACATGAGAAAAGAAACAAACAATATGCAACAGGGCTTCAATACATCTGACAGCAAACTTTTCAGCAGAAACTTTATAGGCCAGGAGAGAACAGCATGACGTATCTAACGTGCTGAAGGAAAAAACCTTCTACCCTGGAATAATATACCCAGTGAAAACATCCTTCAAAAAAAAGGGAGAAATAATGACTTTCTTAGACATACAAACGCTGAGAGATTGTATCAACACCAGACCTGTCCTACAAGAAATGCTAAAGGGAATACTTCAATATGAAGAGGACTTTAGTGAGAAATAACAAATCATGTGAAGGTACAAAACTCACTGGTAATAGCACACAGAAAAACACAGAATATAATAACATTGTAATTATGGTGTGTAAACTACTCTTAAGTAGAAAGATTAAATGATGAACCAATCAAAAATAATTACAACAACTTTTCAAGACATTGACCACACAATAAGACATACAAAGAAACAACAAAAAGTTAAAAAGTGCAGGGAGGAGGTTAAAGTGTAGAGTTTTTATTAGTTTTCTTTTTGCTTGTTTATGTAATCCATGTTAAGTTGTTATCAGTTTAAAATAATTGGTTATAAAACAGTATTTGCAATCCTCATAGTAACCTGAAATGAAAAAAGCATGCAATGGATACACAAACAAAAAGCAAGAAATTAAATCATACCACCAGAAAAAAATCATCTTCATTAAAATTTAGACAGAGAGGAAGAACAAAAGAGGAGAAGACAACAAAACAACCAGAAAGCAAATAATAAAATGGGAGGAGTAAGTACTTACTTATCAATAATAACATTGAATGTAAATGAACTAAACTCTCTAATTAAAAGATACAGAGCAGCTGAATGGATAAAAAAAGCAAGACCCAGTGATCTGTTGCCTACCAGAAGCACACTTCATCTACAAAGATACACATAAGTGATGGAACCAGAAAACGCCAAGTGTATCTTGTATCTGATACTTATATCAAACAAAATAGATTTCAAGCCTAAGCTGTAAGGAGAGACAAAGAAGGTCATTATATAATGACAAAGGAGTCAATTCAGCAAGAGGATACAATAATTGTCAATATATATGCACCCAATGCTGGAGCACCCATATATATAAAGCAAATATTATTACAGTTACAGAGAGAGAGAGACTGCAATACAGTAACAGCTGGAAACTTCAACACCCCTCTTTCAGCATTGGACAGATCATCCAGACAGAAAATCAACAAAGAAACATTGGCCTTAATTTGCACTACAGGACAAATGAACCTAATCAATATTCACAGAACATTTCATCCAATAGCTGTAGAATACACATTCTTTTCCTGAAAACATCGATCATTCTTAAGGATAAATCATACATTAGGTCACAAAACAATTCTTACTGCATTAAAAACAGTTGAATAATATCAAGCATCTTCTCTGACCACAATGGAATAAAACTAGAAATTAATAAGAGAAATTTTGAAAACTATACAAATATATGGAAGTTAATCAATATGTACCTGAATTGACCAGTGGATCAATGAAGAAATTAAGAAAATTGTTGGTGGCATGTGCCTGTAATCCAGCTACTTGGGAGGCTGAGGTAGGAGGGTCACCTGAGTTTGGGAGGTTAAGGCTGCAGTGATCCGAGATTGTGCCACTACACTCCAGCTAGGGTGACAGAGTGAGACACTGTTGAAAGAATGTTTCAGAGAGGCTCTCTCTTTTTTTTTTTTTTTTTCCTTTTCAAAAAGATTTTATTTTTCCTGAAATTTCAGAAATAAATTTATGGCAAGGAACTGATAAGCAGGGTTTTTGCCCATCCTGCATGAATCTATTTTCACAGTTTTCAAACCTCTTCTCAGCTTCCTTACCCTTGAAACTATTATTATGTAGCTTAACTCTTTTCCAAGTGTATAAACCTTGGGTCTTCATCTAGCTTCTAAACTCACTGAAGAACAGGGAGTTTATTACATTATACATGTATACATTATGGCCATGTTTTTAAACTTGAGATATAACATTAAAAAGGCAAAGGAGTTTAAGAATTTTGACTTCACTGGGTCCGCACAACACCTGCTGCTTGCTTACATATAGTGAGCATGCAAATCTCTTTTGCTGGAAAGCCCATCAGCTCCTGCAACTGCTTTACCCTTAGTTCACAGACTAATCAAAGTGAGTACACTCTGACAGTACACTAATCAGTGCTGTACACTAAAAATGGTTCTGAAAAAAAGGAGTCATAATAAATTCTCTCTCCAACTCTGTGTTTATTATGAAATACTGGGTCACATAATGAAATTTAATACACCCCATGTGCTATTTAAGACCTTTTCAATTATATGGTTTCAAAACTAAGTATTTTTCAACATGAATCTTCCACTCCACCCAGGTTGGTCTGTGTTTCCACAGTATGTTCTTTCCTAACAAGCACTTCTCACACAAAGCCCATGGAACTTAGAGCATTCTCCCTTTTTTTTTTTTTTTTTTCTTTTTTTTAAGAGAAAAGGTCTTATTATGTTGCCCAACCTGGTCTCCAACCCCTGTACTAAAGCTATCTTCCCACCTCAGCCTCCTGAGTAGCCTGGGACTATAGACAAGCACCATCACACCCAGCTTCTCGAAACTTTTTGAGTTTAACAAATATTATGTTCCTGTTATAGGCCTGTTTCCGATGGTACTTACACATTGGTCTTAAATTTATGCAGCTGGGGCGCTGGGTTTTCGGCTCGCATTTCTAGCACTTCCATGTAATGAGGCTTCTTCTGAGTCCCATTAGAAAGGCCTGTCAAGTTCGTAGCACTTGTGTTTTCTTCTGACTGTTGTTCACCTTCGTCTGCAATGGCAATCCCCTGTAACCTGTCAATCAACAGGTTGTCAAAGCTGCTGGAAGTATCTTCTGCTTGACTTGAAACACGATGCTGCGGCTGATGCTCACTAGCTTCAGATGAAGGCGGCACTCTGTCTCTGTTGCTGGAAGCTGGGCCCTTACTCACTGTGTACTCAGCCTCTGGAGTTTCTTCATCACCTTCATGAGTAGGATGTCCAAGTCCCTGGTTTTGTGAGGTTGTTTCAGATGACTCGATGTTATCTACAGAGGAACAGCCAGGAGCTAGTGATGAAGTGTCAAGTATCTGGTCAGAATTCTGGGCCTTATCTGTATCGACATCAACTTCCGCAGTTGCTTTTTGCCTTAGCTTACAGTCTAAACTAACAGGATGAAACAGTTCACTTTTTCTTCTAACTTCTTCACGTTCTGCAATGGCAGCTTTCAGTTTGGCAACAGAGTCAAAAATCTTTTCACCTTTGTCGGGCAATTTGCGAGTGAATTTTACCTTGCGCAAAAGTCTCTCCGGGCGCTTCAACATCTCCCGCAGCTCCACCAAACTGCGCTGCCCCAAGTCCTCCGGTGCTTGGGGCTCGAAGCCGCGGGGCAGGGAGGACATTCTGCGCAGGCTGAGGCTGGCGTGGCGGCAGGCACTCGGCTTCCTCAACAGGCCCCGCAGCTAGCGCCGGATCCGCGGCCGCGGCGACTCCGGGGAACGAGCGGGAGTCGCCATTTTCCCGGAAGCGGGGCTCTCTTATCATGAGAATGTTTCAGAGGGGCTCTCGTCTATTTAGGTGCAGCATCCTTTTGTCCAGTAGAGAACAGAAGGTCAGGTTTGAGTACAGGTTTATGGTACCTTTGAGTAGGAAAGAAAACGGAGTAGATCCAGTTTCCATGATTGGCATTATCCACACACAACGAGTCAGCAAAAAGCTGAACATTGAGAAGCGATTGTGCCATTGTATTTCTAAATTTTGAAAGGTAGGGGAAGTTGAGTGAGAAGTGTGGAAGAACACTGCAAGCTGGAGAGGCACCACACGGTGGACTTGGACTCAAGAGAGCTTTCAGTCTCAGGGGAGAGAGTGAAACAGAATTGGTATAGTGGAAAGCTAAAAGCAAGAACATTCTCAATTTTGTCTAGAGGTTTATTATCTTGCCACCTTGTGATTTAAGTCATTGATTTAATTACCACCATCTTTTTCTCTGGTGTTACAAAGGCTTGAGAGCATCTTGTCCTTACCTAATGCATATATTTTCCAGACATCTTTATTCTCATGTTGGCACTAAGCATAAAATGTTACTTAATGGGACTTTGTCTTCCAAATATTTCAATGCTTTTTCTGAATTTTCTGGCACCTGACATTTTATCAAATAGTGTGGAGGAAATATCTTTGCCTGTCAGTATAGCAAGCCAGGTGTCATATGTTCATATTTCTTTCAGGTAACTATACCCAAGAGAACAACACACTTGGCATTTGGGCAGTAGGGGCTGTAGGATCTGCACTGATTTGCAATAAGTACTGGGAACATTATCCTGGTGGAGACGCACTTGCTTCTGCTCCCTACTCTCATCCCTAAAAAGACAGTCAGTAGAAACCCAGTGGTTTTTGCTTCTTAGGGAATATGTGCCTTTAGACTGATCCATTTGATTAACTGCTAAAAAAATAGGGGTCCACAGTAATGACATATGCAGCACTTTGTGGTGTGAAAGAGGTGTCTCAGTCATCCTTCAAGAGACACCTAAAAATCAGTCATATTTTTATAAATAGCACATGAGTTACAGAGCTAATGTTTCATTTAATCTATAACCTAAAAATTGGTTGGTGCCTTATAGGCTCCTGACCTGTATTAGCTGTATCCCTGTCTGAGGCTTTATACTCTGAAGTGTTGTCCCTGTTTCAGCAGTCATTGCAAAGCAAAGGACACATGTTGCTCTCAGGAAGTACTTCCATGATGACAGCAGGTGATGAATGCCTTTTCTATAGGGATGACTAATATGGCTTTAGTTGGGGACCCTTGTTTATGAGGCACAAATAATGCAAAACATTCTAGGACACCTGATAGACTGAACTCCCACGTAAGTGAAATGACAAAATGGGTCCTATGATCTGGGAATTTGCCCAGGATTTAAAAAATAAATCAGAGAATTAGACTTTCTAATTCATCTTTTTTAATGTGCCTGTCTGGAGTCACATTATATGAGAGCTTAGCATATGCAGATTTTATGTCTCAACTTACCATATTATTATAAAAACAAGACTTCTACTTGCTGCAGAAACTTTCTCAGCTTCTAATGAAAATAAGAAAAGGGAAGAGAGAATAGAAGTATGGTGTAGGCCTCACATAAATAGAAGGAACATGGAAAACCCATCAACTAGAACTGCTGAGGCACTCTAGATAGGGTAAGCCCAGAATTCTTTCTCTTTTTTTTTTTTTTTTTTTGAGACGGAGTTTCGCTCTTGTTGCCCAGGCTGGAGTGCAATGGCGCGATCTCGGCTCACCGCAACCTCTGCCTCCTGGGTTCAGGCAATTCTCCTGCCTCAGCCTCCTGAGTAGCTGGGATTACAGGCACGCGCCACCATGCCCAGCTAATGTTTTGTATTTTTAGTAGAGACGGGGTTTCACCATGTTGACCAGGATGGTCTCGATCTCTTGACCTCGTGATCCACCCGCCTCGGCCTCCCAAAGTGCTGGGATTACAGGCGTGAGCCACCGCGCCCGGCCTCAGAATTCTTTCTCTATAGCCAACTACTTCTCTCACTTTCCCCAGAAACTGAAGAATAATATGGATCTATGGATTCCATAACACTTTTAAAAACATAGCTCAGAATGTTTTTTTCTTTTCTTTTTATTTATTTAGTTTTTGAGACAGAGTTTCACTTTTGTTGCTCCAGGCTGGAGTGCAATGGTGCCATCTTGGCTCAATGCAACCTCTGCCTCCCAGGTTCAAGTGATTCTCCTGCCTCAGCCTCCCAACTAGCTGGGATTACAGGTGTCCGCCACCACATCTAGCTAATTTTTGTGTTTGTAGTAGAGATGGGGTTTCACCATGTTAGCCAGGCTGGTCTTGAACTCCTCACTTCAGGTGATCCACCTGCCTTGGCCTCCCAAAGTGCTGGGATTACAGGCATGAGTCATCTGCATCCAGCCATAATCTGAAGAATTTTTATTTTAAATCATTTCTAATCTATAAGCATTTAGATAACCTAACATACCATACTAAGTTATGTTATTTCTTTTGTTTTAGTGACAAAGAAGGAAGGCTGCCCAGATATGCAATAGATGTGACTCCACTATTTATCTAGTGAAATGTTCAGTTTGATATTTTGGATATTTAAAGAAACAACAAAGTTTTCTGTGTAAAAGAGTTTCTATGATAAATAAGGATAGTTTATCATAAGAGACAGCTGTATCTGTTTCTGTTTCAAGATTATTCTAAGAAGGGAAAAAGAAAAAAAGGAACCGGTAATCTCTACCTATATATATGGCTGAAGTTCTTGTCTAATTGTCAGAGAAAGGCAAGGCTTTAAAAAGGGACTGATGGGAGCAGAGACATGCCGCCTCCTTCTCTGAGCATGGTGTGCTCTTTCTTCATGGCAGGGAGGGGCTCCACATCTCCATAGTGGCCAGGGGTTTCTTCTTGCTGATCTTTAGCTAGAGAGCACTGAAATGGTCTCACATCTGTGAGGTGCTTTGAACAGTGGCCAACACTCTACTATGCCCAGCACACAATACAGGGCTTGGAACATCATATAATTAGTACATATTTGTTAAATTAATCCTTCAGAAAATGCTGGGTTTGTGTCTCACAGATGTTCAAAATATCTGAGTCCTGGGTTGCAGATGTATAATCACGGAAATGAGCTAAGAAGTGGAATGGGTCAGATTTGTAACTGTTCACATATTGAGCTTGTAAAGAAAAAGAGAAAGGGGTAAATTAGGAGTTTAGAATCTCTCTGGGTTGGGAACTATAGCTCTATCTTGGAATAAGATAACAGAGATGCATATAAATGTGAAAGCAAAATAAATCTCACAACCCCTGAATCACTAAGCCAAAAAGAAAAGTCAAACTGGGAACTGTGTTGGACAAATCTGCCTCCCATTCTATTCCTAAATAAGATAGCTACAAAACAAACAAACAACAAACAAAGCTACATACCTCCCTCACCATTTGCCCACAAGAAAATTTCTGTGTACAAAGGACAGACAGAACTCAAATTCATCCCTCTGCTTTTGTGAGACAAATGCGTATCTGAATGTTTCCTTTGCCCTATTGTTTTGTTTAGTCAGACTAAGGCATTCCTAACGATTCCTGTAAACTGTGTATTCAGTGAAAGGCTAATCAGAAACTCAAACGAATGCAACTGTGTGTCTCTTAGCTACCTATGACTTGGAAGTTCCTTTCTGCTTTAAGTTGTTCTGTCTTTCTGGATCAAATCAATGCACATTTTAAATATACTGATTGATGTCTCATGTCTCCCTAAAGTGTATAAAACCAAGCTGTGCCTCGATCACCTTGGGCACATGTCCTCAGGACCTCCTGAGGCTGTGTCACAGGCGTGTCTTTAACCTTGGCAAAATAAACTTTCTAATTTCCTGAGGCCTGTCTCAGATATTTTGGGTTCACATAACTAAGAAAATCTCTGAAACAGTAGTTAGACTATGTTGTAAACAATAGAACTCTAACTCCCTTTGACTAGACAGGTTAACAGTCTAGTTGAGAGATGTAAAAAGGAAGTAGAACAGTAGCTTCAAGATATGTACTGGGGCTCATAAGGTGATACTCTAAAGACTGGTGCTTTGACATGCTGAGAGGTCTTAGAATCTGCCTCAGGATAAAGGTAACTTTAACCTTGTCTTGTTATCCTACTTCCCCCAAACTCTTGAGGTGCAGGGAGGGACACTCTCTATAGTTTCCTTATCTGACCAAGAGAGCTTCTTTCCAAAAGAAATGTAAGTAGAGATTGGGAGCCATCTCTACCCAGACAGACTTTTTATTTTTTCTGAGGGTAGCTATAACAGATTACTTGGAAAACTTTATCTGCATAATAAGACAACCTTTGATCCTGTGCAGATGCACCCCTCACTGTCCCATTGGTACAAGAGCTAGAAAGAAATTATTTAGGCAGATAGTGAAGGTAAAGAAGTACTTAGCAAGACTTTTTTTTTAAACTAAAAGCAGCCCCTAAATCATTTCTTTTCTAATGAAGAGCAGCCAGAAAACCTGAGCCGCAGATATAGATAAGCAAGCTGGAAGCTTGCACAGGCAAATGTGAGCAGCTGTGCAAATAGAGGAGGGCTACCTGAGAGCCAGGCATGTTCAACATGGAGGCTCCATCTTCCCTTTACTTTGTCACTATGTGTATGGTAAAGGAAAAGGAAACATGGCATGACCAAGTAGAGAACCCATCTGCATAATAAAAGATTAGGATGGGGTGGCTAGCTTCTTAGCATGCTATGCAAATGACACATGTGGTCCAACCAATCTTTCATGGCCTACGTAAATCAGACACCACCTCCTAAAGCTCATCTATAAAACCTTCTGCATTTCATTGCAGAAGTGGCAACCCATTTTCTCTGGGATCCCTCCCTGCACAGAGATCTTCTCTTTCTTTTACCTCTTAAACTCCTGCTCTTAAACTCTGGTGTGTCCATGTCCTATTTTTCCATGGCTGTGAGACAACCAATCTCAGGTATTTACCCCAGACAACAACACCACTTCACCATA